GAGATATCAGTACCCAGCTGGGCGCCCGCCTGGAGAGCTGCTGCAGGAACTTGGGCAGGGGGTTGGGTTCAACCATCTCTCAGGGTCCTTTCCAACCCCTGCGATTCTGTGATCAGTGCTGACTTTTAGGCCACCTCAAGTTTTGGCCCACGAGCAGTTACTGTTCTGACGTGGTGCTGTTGCTCTGATCTGCTGAACTGCGGGCACCTGCGGTTGGTTGCTGGAGTGGTCTTCATTCCATGAAGGCCGTATGGTTAACCTTGCAGGAGGGGCCAAGGTTTAGCCTGGAGGAGCGAAGCTCAGGAAGACCTCATTGCTCTCTCCCACTCCCTGAAAGGAGGCTGCAGGGAGGTGGGGGTTTGGCCTCTGCTCCCAGGCATCGGTGATAAAACAAGAGGTGGTGGCCTCACGTTGCACTGGGGAGGTTCAAGGTGGAGATGAGGAAACATTTTTGCTCCGAGGAGCAGCCATGCAGCAGCACAGCTGCCCGAGGAAGTGGCGAAGTCTCCATCCTAAGGGGTGTTGAGGAGCCGTGGAGATGTGGCTCCTGTGGACGGGGTTTGTGGGCACGGTGGGGATGGGTTGGGGTTGCACTTGGTGACCTATTAGGCCTCTTACAACATGATGCTTCTATGATTCCATCCACAGTTGAATACAGAAAATTAAAAACAAAAAAAACACTGATTTTGCCTAAGAAGCCAGGCCTGAGGGCAGTGCAGGTGCAGAGCTGGGATCCAGGAGCCTCGAGGAAACATCACTGTCCCATGTCATCGGTCCCCTCCCATGTTTCTGCTCCTTTGCATCACTTTGTGCTTTTTGCCTTTCCTGTCGCTTACTGTCTCCTCCTCTCTCCCCAGACAAAGTAATAGGAGAGCTGTGGTGGGCAGACACAGCTCTCATCTCACAGTTCAGACAACGAGCTGCTTGACTGCAGCAGAAAATTAGCATGTGGGTCCATGCCCTGGCTGCTGTACCACCAGAGCTGTGAGGCAAGAGGTTCTCTTGTAAGCTTGGAGGGGGAAACTACCTGGCATTGGTGTTAAAGAGCTGAATGCTCGTTTCTTCTTCTTTCCAGTCTCCTGATGCAGCTGATGAGCTGAGATATGTGGAGGACAGAAATAACTCAGGTAAGCCAATGGTTGGAGGAAAGCTCTCTGTACCACTTACATCCCATCCGCGGTTCCAGTGTTTTCTTCTTGGCTGCTGCTTGTGGAGTCGACCCCGAGGACCTCACCTTCTTGCTGCTTGAAGCATCATCCTTTTTTTTTTTTTTTTTGTCCATTCTAGAATGAAAACCTTGAGATTGGCCACATTCAGTTTTGGGTAGGATATTTGCATTGTGTTTATTAACGGTTGGTTTGCTGAGAACTGTTTGTTACAAGCATGCCTAACCTCGTGTTGTGCTTTCGAGTGAAGAGTGGGGGTAGAGTGTAAGTGGGAATTCCTGACAGCTGCTATAAGGGGACAACATCCATCATTAGGGTTTGCTTTGTGCCCCTTCTGCTGGAGCACAAGCAGGCAGTGCAGGCGCTCGTCCTGCTTTGGCACTGGAGGGCATTTGGATGGAGCTTGGTGTGGTGACTCCCCACGTCTAAGCCTGTGGAGCTGTGTGCACCGTCAGCTAAATGAGCACTAATTAAGGTTTTGGCTTGTGATTAATGGCTCTGTGTCAGGGTGGAGGCCGGTCACAAGTGGTGTCCCTTGGGGGTCTTGGGACCGATGCTCTTCAACATCTCCATCAATGACAGATGATGGCACCAAGTGGCCCAACTGCAGCACTGCGTTCAGGGCTGGAGCCCCCAGCACAGGAAGGACAGGGAGCTGTTGGAGGGTCCAGAGGAGGGCACTGAGATGCTTAGAGGGCTGGAGCAGCTCTGCTATGAGGAAAGGCTGAGGGAACTGGGCTCGTTTAGCTTGGAGAAGAGAAGGCTGCAGGGAGACCTGATGGTGGCCTCCAGTGCTTGGAGGGAGCGGATAAACAGGAGGGGAACGGCTGTGTGTGAGGGTGGTGGTGATGGGATGAGGGGAATGGCTTTAAAGTGAGCCAGGGGAGGTTTAGGTTGGATGTGAGGAGGAAGTTTTTCAGCCAGAGGTGGTGAGGCACTGGAACAGGTTGCCCAAGGAGGCTGTGGATGCCCCATCCCTGCAGGCATCCAAGGCCAGGCTGGATGTGGCTCTGGGCAGCCTGGGCTGCTGGTTGGCGACCTGCACACAGCAGGGGTTGGAACTGATGAGCATTGTGCTCCTTTGCAACCCAGGCCATTCAGGGATTCTATGATTATTGATCCCTATGGCACCCTATGGATCCTTATGGCACCCTATGGGTTCTCTGTGCAGCCTGGTCTGCTGGCTGGAGACCCTGCACACAGCAGGGGGTTGGGACTCAGTTATCATTGTGGTCCTTTTCAACCCAGGCCATTCTGTGATTCTGTGATTAAGAGCAGTGCCCTCCAACCACGCTGAGTCTCCACCCAGTTTGGCCGTCTCTCCACATGTCTGCCAGTGCCTTTGTTCTATTCCTGTTCGTTTTGTTTGAAAGTGAGCCCTCTGTCTGTCAGCCTCAGCATCCTTCCAAGGCGTCACATTGCTTACCCCTGTTCTCTTGGCTCCAAGTCCTTTTCAGACAACGGGTCGATGCTGCATAGTAATTCAGGAAGGATTCAGGGTCATAACCAGTGCTCCTGCCTGGTTACTGTAGGCAAGAGGGCATTGCTGTGAGCATGGCTGTAGAGCAGAGGGTGGGCCATTAAGTCCAGCTCTGCACCTTTGACTGCACACCTGTGATCTGATAGATTGTTGTATTTGAGGTTCTCTGCTAAATCCAGAGAAGCTTCTCAGTAACTGGAAGGAAAAATTACGTGGCTTCTTGAAGCTTTTTTCCTTCTTAGACAAATACTTCAGGGAAGTTGGGTGGATTCTGTGGGCTGTGTAAAAGCACAGTGTAGTTCTGGTGCAAAACACATCCCTGCAAAGCCTCAGAGCGCAGGAGCTGAGGGTCAGCTCTGCCACCATGGCTGCTGTGTGGAGGAGCCAAAATGCAACCTGCAGACAGGACTTGACTCATCCAAGCATTGAGCAAAACCAGAAGGCTCATCTCTCTCAGTCCCATGCTGATGCTCATAGTGCTCGTCAGCTCCCAGTGCTCTGTTGGAACTCCTGCAGCACTGCGGGCACGACTGCTTGCCTCAGTCCCTTCTGGGTACGGATTATTCCTAAAGTTTGGCACTCCCGTACCATTTTCACTGAGTCCTGGGTGCTGGGGGAAGATGTCTGCTGAGGAGCCACTTCCTGAAGGCTGCCCAGAGAGGCTGTGGATGCCCCGTCCATCCCTGGAGGTGTTGGAGGCCAGGTTGGATGGGGCCCTGGGCAGCCTGGGCTGCTGTGAAATGTGGAGGTTGGTGGCCCTGCATTGGTGGGGGTTGGAGCTTCGTGATCCTTGAGGTCCCTTCCAACCCAACCATTCTGTGATTGGTTCTGTGATCCCTTCGCAGAAAATAACAGTGCTTCAGGTGCACATCACCTAAAAGTCCTGGGCATGGCATTGCTGTGATTTACACCTGAGCGCGCGGAGCACCCTCGTGTCATCATTAAGCATCTCAGTGCTTCAATCGAGCACCTCCTCCCCTAAGTCTGTCGCTTCTCTTTATCTACGCAGTTCCTCAGGAGCAAGACGGCCAGCCGGAGGAGGAGGAAACGCTATTAACACGTGATTCATCAACGCCAACCGCATCCGCACTTGAAGAGATGGCTCTGTACAGCAGCAAACGCAAACTGCGGCACAGCCGGCGCAGCCTGGAGGCCGCCGTCCCGACGTAGGCAATCCAAAGCTCCTGGGCTTTGGGACGGCCCAACACGGGGCTCCTGAATTTCCCGTGCTCCAGGAGCAGCACCAAACTGCCCGTCGCGCTGCTTCCTGGGCTCCGGGTGGAACTGAGCACCCCGGGAGCGTTGCGGTCAACCGACTTCCTTAAGGCTGCGAAGCGCCCTACTTTTCTCACCCGGTTGTGCGCTGGGCCACGTCCTGACCCCACGTGGGATGGCACGGACTGACGGATGGCTGAGCAAGAGGAAGCGTGGGTAGGACAGCGGGCAGCTGCAGTTTGTTAGCCTGTAAATATTGGGTAAGGGGGGAGGGAGGGGCACGGTAGGACAGGGAGGACGTAGAGTGTGAGTGTGTTGGGCTCCGGCTGTTCTTTCCTCAACTTGGGTCTTCTGTGTAATGGTTTGATATGAGAGAATCATAGAATGGTAGGATTCTATGAGAGCTTCTACCGCGGTCTGAATGAGAAGGAAGTTCCAGCCTTCGCTCCTCTTGGGTTTCCAGTCTTTTGCCAAGAAGCATCTTCTCCCACCTCCCGCACTGTGTCACCTCGCTTTCTTTTGGGAGCGTGTGGAAGCTCGGAGGCAAAAAACAAAACAAAACAAACCATAAAGAAAAGGAATTTTAGTGAAGTGCCTCCCTCTGACACTGACACCTGTGTGCTCGAAAGGGGACTGAAGGAGCTGGAGCCCATCCACGCTCCAGGAAGCATCAGCTCCGTTCCATCGCCTCTGTGAGCGCAGCATCTGTAGGGAACTGCTCCTACCTGCAGTGCTGGGCTGTTCTGGGAGACAGGGATCTGCCCCAGACACACACGTCGTTGTGTGCACGTAGTGCAAGCTGCTGTGCACGTTGCTGGGTGTCAGGCAGGGATCTGTCTGCCGCCCACATCACAGCAGAAACAAGAAGGGAGTTGAACAGGTGTGGGAGTGGTAGCGGTGTGAGTGTAGGGCAGCAATAGCAAGCAGAATAGGGAAGGGTTAGGATACGGCAGCAGAGGTAGGAGGTGTAAACAGCAAATAAGGTAGGGGTTAGGATTCAGGGAATGGGGAAGGGTAGGAAGCGGCGTTGCTGGGGTCAGGTTAGGACTAACGGGGTCTTACAGGTAGGGTGCTGGTGGGTGAGTCCCAGTGGCTGTGAGATGGTAGTGATGTTGTGAGGGCGCCTATGGGGTCTGAAGGAGTGGCTGCCTGCCAGGTGGGGTGGAACGGAGCTGGGAAAAACCTGCAATAAGCACACGGTGCTGCTCTCTGCCAGCGTGTCGACTTCAGGCCCCTGTCTGGGTAGGACAGGGCAAACACATGCTTGTCCAAGCAAGAGGAGAAAAGAAAAATGAAAAAGGGACTTGGGTGTGATTCCTGGTTGCCACACACGGAACAGCGGCCGTGAACAGTTTGCATCCAGTGTGCTCTACAGACACGGAGGAGGCTGATGCTGCTCACAGCTCTGAAGTCAGTCTCTGCTGCTCTACTGCCCACTACTGAAGTAAAACAACAACAACATCCCTGTTCCTTTTTTCTTTTTTTTTTTTTTTAAATGGATTTGGTTTGGGTTGGGTTTTCTTTTGTTAAAGCCTCCAATAGAGAGAAAGGCATCAGAGTTCAGCAGTCATTGATCTGTCCATCCAGATCCATTGGTGCTCTCTGCTGAACTCCAGCAGTAAGGCCAGGGCTGAACTTACCTGGGACGTGGCTTGGGAGCAGCAGGCACGTCTGCTTATGCATTTGCTGAATGACTGGATGCAATTTTTTTGTTATGGTCGAGCATCTCCCTTCACGCCAAACTCAGTTTGTACCGACTCCACGTGTTTCGTTCGGTGGGGCTCTGAAGGGGGAACTCGGGCATCTCAAGCTGCAGCTGCGGCTGCTTCCATCATCAGCAATTGGAGCTTTTCCTTTTTAAGGTCTAATTTTAGCGTATGCTTTTTAACAAGAGCAGTTTTGGAAGCGATCTTGGATTTGTTTTGGTGACTAACGTGATTCTTTCTTCTTTCCCTTTTTGGTACCCGCTGCCAGGCTCTGGGTTCTCTCCCCTTCTCTCCTGAGAGACTCTGAGGGAAAATTAATTAGCGCATCAAGACTGTAACTAGTGACATTTGTACAACCAAAGAAATCTATTTTGTGGTTCAAGGATAATAAAGTTTACTTTACGTTTTAGAAGCTCGAGTTATTCTGTTTGCCTTGTGTCAAGTCTGCAATTTCTCATAGACTCATAGGTTCATAGACTGCTCATAGACTCATGAACTCATAGACTCATGAACTCATTGACTCATGAACTCGTAGACTCGTTGCCTTATAGACTTGTAGGCTTGTAGGCTCATGAGCTCATAGACTCATAGGGCTCATACAGTCATGCACTCATAGACTCCCAGACTCATGGGCTCATTGGCTCATTGGCTCGTAGACTCATAGTCTTGTAGGCTCATAGACTCATGGTCTCGTAGACTCGTAGACTCACTGGCTTATAGACTCATAGGCTTATAGACTAAGAGACTCATAGACTCATAGGTTCATGGACTCATTGGCTTATTGGCTCGTAGAGTCGTAGTCTAGTAGGCTCATAGGCTAAGAGACTCATAGGGCTCATATAGACTCATATAGGCTCATATGCTCATAGACTCATAGCCTCATAGGCTCATAGGGCTCATAGAGTTATGGACTTATAGGCTCATAGACTGCTCATACACTGCTCTTAGACTCCTTCACTCATAGACTCATAAACTCGTAGACTCGTTGGCTTGTAGACTTGTAGGCTCGTAGGCTCAATGACTCAGACTCATAGGGCTTGTACAGTCGTGGACACATGGGCTCATAGACTCACTCATTGGCTTGTAGGCTCGTAGGCTCATAGACTAAGAGACTCAGACTCATAGGCTCAGAGACTCATGGGCTCATAGATTCATGGGCTTGTAGACTCATAGTTTTGTAGGCTCGTAGGCACGGACTCATAGGGCTCATATACTCATAGGCTCATTGGCTCGTAGACTCATAGGCTTGTAGACTCATCGGCTCATAGGGCTCATAGAGTTATGGACTTATAGGCTCATAGACTGCTCTTAGACTGCTCTTAGACTGCTCATAGACTGCTCTTAGACTGCTCTTAGACTGCTCTTAGACTGCTCTTAGACTCATTCGCTTATAAACTCATAAACTCATAGACTTGTGGACTTGTTGGCTTGTAGACTTGTAGGCTCATAGACTCATATGGCTCATAGGCTCATAGACTGAGACTCATAGACTCCTTGGCTCATGGACTCATTGGCTTGTAGACTCACAAACTCATGGGCTTGTAGACTTGTAGACTCATAGACCCATTGGTTCATGGGCTCATAGGCTCTTAGGCTAAGAGACTCATAGAGTTCAAATACTCATAGACTCATATACTCATAGGCTCGTAGGCTCATTGGCTCATAGACTCATAGCCTCATAGCCTCATAGGCTCATAGGGCTTATAGATTTGTGGACTTATAGGCTCATAGACTGCTCATACGCTGCTCTTAGACTCATTCGCTCATAGACTCATAATCTCATAGACTCGTAGACTCATAGACTCATTGGCTTGTAGACTTGTAGGCTCGTAGGCTCATGGACTTATTGACTCATAGGGCTCATACAGTTGTGAATGCATAGGCTCATAGATTCATGGGCTCGTGGACTCATAGTCTTGTAGGCTCATAGGCCCATAGGCTCATTGGCTCGTAGACTCATAGGCTCATAAGCTCATGGGCTCATAGGCCCATAGGCTCATTGACTCGTAGACTTACAGGTTCACAGGCTCAAAGACTCATAGACTCGTGGGCTTGTAGACTCATAGTCTTGTAGGCTGATAGACTCAGACTAAGAGACTCATAGGCTCATACACTTATAGACTCATATTCTCATAGGCTCATAGGGCTCATAGAGTTATGGACTTATAGGACCATAGACTGTTCAAACATTGCTCTTAGACTTACAGACTCATAGGCTTGTTGGCTTGTAGACTTGTAGGATCGTAGGCTCATGGACTCATAGACTCATTGGCTCGTAGGCTCATAAGCTCATAGACTAAGAGACTCATAGGCTTAGAGGTTCATAAACTTATAGGCTCATTGGCTCGTAGAGTCGTAGTCTCATAGGCTCATAGGCTTGTAGGCTCATAAGCACATAGGGCTCGTAGAATTATGGACTTATAGGCTCACAGACTGCTCATACACTGCTCATAGACTCATAGACTCATTGGCTTGTAGACTCATAGTCTCGTAAGTTCGTAGGCTCATAGGCTTATAGATTCATAGGCTCATAGTTATGGACTCATAGGGCTCACAGAATTGTGGACTCATAGGCTCATAGACTGCTCACAGACTCCCAGACTCATCGGCTCATAGGCTCATAGGCTCATTGGCTAAGAGATTCATAAGGCTCATATACTCACAGGCTCATGAACTCATGGATTCATAAGCTCATAGGCTCATAATCTCATAGGCTCATTGGCTCATAGACACATAGACACAGACTCATAGGCTCGTGGGCTCATAGACTCATAGTCTCATAGGCTCATAGACTGCTCATAGGCTCATAGACTCGTAAACTCATGACTCATAAACTCATAGGCTCATCAGCTCGTAGACTTGTAGACTCTTGGACTCGTAGGCTCATTGGCTCATAGACTCATAGGCTTGTAGACTCATAAGCTCATAGGGCTCATAGAGTTATGGACTCATAGGCTCATAGACTGTTCACAGACTCCCAGACTCATCAGCTCATAGTCTCATAGACTCACAGGCTCATTGGCTAAGAGATTCATAAGGCTCATATACTCACAGGCTCATAAGCTCATGGATTCATAGGCTCATTGGCTCGTAGGCTCGTAGGCTCATGAACTCATGGATTCATAGACTCATAGGCTCATAATCTCATAGGCTCATTGGCTCATAGACGCATAGACACAGACTCATAGGCTCATGGGCTCATAGACTCATAGTCTCATAGGCTCATCACAGAATCACAGAATCACAGAATCAGTAAGGTTGAAAAAGACCTACAAGATCATCCAGTCCAACCATCCACCCATCACCAATGGTTCTCACTAAACCATATCCCTC